TTTGAAACTGAACATACAACTAAACTCTTGTGCCATTTTGCTATAAACATGCTATTCAATGAAGTTATCTTTAGTTTTATATTGATAGCAATGGCCATGGTTTTGAACAGCAGAAAACAAAAAGGAAATGGTTTGATTTACTGCGATTTAACAGAAACATTAAAACTCCTAATGTACAGCTGCCTTCAGACAATATTGTTACTCAGAAATCTGCAACTCTCAAGACTAGTAATTATCATTGATAGAAAGTTTTTAAGTTAACAAGTCTTTCTTGAAATTCTAAATTTCCTGCAAATTGTAAAATTAGGAAATGCTGACTGCTTTTACTCTGCTGCCAAATACTAGGGAAGATTTGGGGTAAATAAACATTATTAGGGAACTTTTCCCTATCTACAACAACAACAATAAAAGTTTTATTGGTAACACAATTATCTAAATGTCTATACTTCTAACATTTCCATTTCCTCTAAATCATTGCAGTTCCAAATCTATCCAGCCAACTCTCAAGCAGCACTAATGAGTGACAGGACAAGAGGAAAGAGTCTTAGGTTGCACCAAGGGAGGTTATTAGGGAAAATGTCTTCACCAAAAGGGTTGTGAAGCATTGGAACAGGCTGCCCAGGGAAGTGACGGAGTCCCCATCCCTGGAGGTATTTAAAAGACGTGCAGATATGGTGCTCAGAGACATGGTTTAGTGGTGGACCTGGCATCGCTATGTTTATGGTTGGACTCAATGATCTTAAAGGTCTTTTCCATCCTAAATGACTCTATGACTCTACGCCCTATTCTAGGATTCTAATCAATAGACATGTCTACTTTTCACTGCAAATAATAGAAAAGATCCATTTTTTTTCCTACTCAGTTGTCACACAGAAAGATTAAGTGTTCTGCATGTTGTTATGTCGAGATACAGAACATCAATATTCCATGTCATCCTGAAAACTAGATACCAGCATTTAAGATTTCAGCATTGATCTTACTAAAGATTCCCCCCCGAGACTTTGAAAGTCATGCTGCATGCATAGAGAAAATGAGGTGTTGCCTTACTTTCAAAGCTTTTGCAGAATCTTGACTGTGAGAACAAAGAGAGATCATTTCATGTTTCTCAATAAAAGCAGCTAGTATCAGGGATCAATTGTCAAGTATTCAGCTATTTTATCTTTTAAAAATAAATATTCAATCTGTTGATACACCTGTAAGTATTCAGAAGTATTATGGACTTATTTCTGAAGCCACCGTGCATGTAAAAATTCCAGTTAAGTCAAGTCATTCCATGCATAGAGACTAAAGAGAATAGGACGCTACTTGGCTGGATAACAAAAATTTCACTGAGATAATCTCAACCAGGTAGACTGAACATGTCAGCTCCTGCAGGTAATATAACAAAGATATAAAAATAAGGTATTTAATATTCTCAATAACAAGAAAAATCAAGAAAACAGACCAATGAGTTCCCTTGTTTTGGCCTCAATCTCTCCCAAAAGAATCTCAGGATTGGCACAGATTTTCTCTTCATCAGCACAATAACCCTCTAAAAATTTCCTATATTCTGGATCTGTGAAGAAAAATTTTTGAATTATGTTAATACGTTGCAACGCACGACAGAAACGGAATCTGTTTGCCACTGTGATGCCACGAAAACATGTTTACCGTCTTCAATGCTCCCAGCTTTGGCATCTTTCTTCTTTAGCTTCTTTTTTGAAATCTTCTGGAACGGAGCAAATTCAACCACTGCAGGATACTCCAAACCTTAAAAGAGATCAATGCTCAATTTTCTGAGAAGAAACCTTCCCTATATTCAAGTAAGATTATAAAAGCTCATGAAACTTGTGTTGGGCAGTCTTACTGGAAATCAAAGGTGAATGTTTCTACAATCTTACCCCAAACTCCTAATGAAAGATTCCATGTAGCAGTATTTCAGATTCAAAAGAAAATACATTTATATTTTGATTATATGTATAAACATGAAATATTTTTGGACATTCTAACAAAGACCATTAAAATTAAGATGCCAACTGTTGCACAACAAAATTCTTGCATTATCACTTTTAACTCCCTCTTGATTCTTCACAGATATTGACTAGAAAAATTTATGTAAAAACTCAGCCTGTCAAGTAATAACCACTACTGGGAAATGGATCTTTAATAATTTTGTTTCTTCTGCAAAGTTTTGTTGCTAAAACTCTTAAAAAACCAAATAAATGCTGGGTAATACACAATCATAAAACATACCACCTTCTTTCAGAATCAAAACTGTAAAATTCAGCATGGAGAATTGCGTGAAACTTCTTTTTTTCTGTTTAAGATTGACTACGCAACTTCTTGCCTGTGCTTATTGGTATGGATTTTTTGTTTGTAATTCTGCCTTAAATACTTAATTCATCTTTGGGCTGGAGTCAGAACTTTGTGTAGCTTTTGAACTTCACCTAGTTTCCACTTGCAGCAGGTTCAAGACTATCCCTTGCTCAAGTCCACTGAAAACTTGGCTTAAACCTGCTAGAAGATTTATTAACCTTATCAAACCTGGTAATCCTTGTTTTAATTTTAGCCTCATAAATGCAACATCATCACAGGCCTCACCAGAGGGCACCTTTGATTTTTTTTTCAAAAATCATGCTCACTATTTGCACAATCATGCAGAACTGGCCAGCTGTGTCCAAGCTGTTTTGCAAAGTACAGAATACTCTGGCTTCGGTCCAGCATAACACTGAAGAAAGTGCTTAATTTAGGCAGAGTGAAGTCTTGGCAGAATCATAGCTTCTTTCTAGTTTTTAATCTAAAAAAGTAATCTAAAAATTTAATGAACTGGAAATCGAAACACTGCGAGGAATGTGTTGTTCTCCACCTCTAAGAAAATCCATCCAAATCTGATTAAGTTAGAAGCCTGCAAAATATCTTAGGTAGGAAATGCTCAAGAATTGGTTCATTTGACAGACTAACAGTCCTTTAGAGATTAGGTCTCCAGCAAAAGCGGACAGGACTACTTTTCATAGGACCTTGGCAAGACCAAGTCTACAGAATAGATCAGAACCCCACGAACCCATGTCTATTTTGTCCAACCCACGCATTTTTTTCCAGAAGGTGTGAGTGAATGAGGCAAGGAACTGCTAGGGGGAAAGCACTATTTCATTGCTATGGCAGTTTCATGCTAGTGGAGGAGACCTGGATTTAACCACAGCTATATTACAATTTTTCTTTGCTGTTGGGCAAGGTTTCATACACCAGATGTTTTAGAGGGGCCAACCTTGGAATTTTAGATCGTCTGCAAATGCTCTAAAAAGTCAAGCTGTACATATCTCAAAGCGGGTGACCAAAATGATGGCCAAGTTTTCATCTTGCTTTTTCAAAATGGGAATAAGTGGCACAACTTTCTCACAAAAACACACTAAAGATGTAAGAAGTCATGCTTGCAAATGTGTTTAATCACTGTTGTGATGAATTATGAAGCTTGCATAAGGTGATTACCTTAATAGGATCTTGACAGCATATTGCTAAATGTACAAGTGTACACTATTGCTTAGTGTACCAGAATGCAGAAAAAGCATGCACACCACACAGACAAGCAAGACTGCATGGACAAACACACCCTGCACTTCGCTATCTTTTAAGTGCTATATTTTAATATATTCTTATGTAATTAACTGTATACTGAGGGAAAAAAAAAGTGTAATTAGCAAAAAGTAAATTAATGATCTAAAATGGTATATGTATATGTACACACTGAATATGTTACAAACAGTCCAACCTTTATTATCAATGAAGACATAGCCATCAAAGCGATCTCTAAAAAGAAGGATGTCCTCAGGATTTCTAAAGTTTATGTATGCTCTTGAGTAGAGATGAGGATAAAGGCTGCAACAAGAAACAATTTTATTTTCTGTTATTTACTATTTTGTTCAGGACTAGAGAAAAAGTAAAACTAGAAGGAGCATACTGCAATTCTCCTCTTCTTTGAGAAATGTCTACCTTAATCATTCATACAGAAGTCTTTAGGTATATGTATCCAATTATGTGTGTGACAAAAAGTAATTGAACAACTGAGTTCCTGGATGCAACTGTGAAATTTATTCTGAACTGAGACAAATACTTCTTGCTTGTTTTGTCTCCCTAAATTGCCGAGCATGCGCTTCCACTGTACAAGACCAAAGCTTTAAGTCTACTATGCCATTATTTAAAAGATATGAATAACAGCAATGCTTCTGGGGAACTTCTTGGGGATGCTAAGAAAGTCTTCTGTCACTGAAACAGAAGAAGGTAGGTAAAAGCTCCCAGTGAAAGTGCAGTTGCCAAGCTCTCACTGTATTTGAAGAGATTTCCACCTTTAGGTATGATTAAATAACCTGGTAATTGTCAAGGCAATCTGCTGAATTCTACACAAATATATAAACCCCATCTGACATAGATGTGCATCAACATATATGCAACGTCTAGTTGCGAAGAACAACTACTGTGAAAATCCAAAGCACTACTGGCAAAAGAAAGAACAAGTACTTACCTAAAATAATTCTGATTCTTCAATAATTGGCATAGATCTCACGCCAAGACTAAACATCTAATGTGCCTGACAAAAACCTCAGAGCTGGCACACCACCAATCACAACGAAACGGAGGTAATTTAATGAATTATCAACCATCAGCTAAGTTATTGTGAGTCAGGGCATGTACATGCTTTAAACCCTTGCAACTGTGATATAAAACAGTTTGGCTTAAACTGCCTTCAGTGACAGCTATGTGTTATGTTAGGTTTTTGAACGTATCTGAACACAAGCCCGTAACTTAAACCTATGTTCATAATACTGCTGCCACACGGGGCCTGTTTTCAGATAAACTCACCAGGACACAATAAACACACACAGTTGCAACAGTATTTCAATCCTACAGCTATTTCTAAATCAGATTTCACAATGAGTCAGAAAAAGCAAAAATATGGGTTGGATCACAGGCTCCACACATGTGGCAGCTGATATCAAGAGAGTTACTACAAACCAAGTAATTTTTTCTTTTTCAAATGTGCATCCATGTGGATTCCACTTTGGATGTTAGAAGGTGACCATGAAAAGCAGCGCTGCCAATAACAAACCAAGGATTTTGTAAACCTATGAAATTTGCGTTTGATATTGTAACCAGAAGAAATGTTTAAAAAACCAAGTGGATAGACTTTTTCATTTAGATGTTTTGCAAATACCAGCTACAGAGTGCTTCTACAGCATGCAGAGCATAAACCTTCTAATTTTAAAGAAGAGCTATTTCATCCATATATACTATCTTTTGATATTCTAGGATAGGAATACCATTGAGTGAACCAGGTAACCACAAAAATGCCTGCTAGGGCACAGCCCTGGCTATGCTGCTGCCACACAGCAGCACTGAAAGATGCTATAGGTGCGGCACAGTCCCTTCTCTGCCTCAGCTTATAAAGATGCCACACAGCTACAGACTGCTTGCAAGCAACCTCACGACAGCTGGACCAAACAAGCACGGTGGCACGTGACTGTGCTTTGCCATGGGGTTCTGCCAACCCTGCAGAATCTGCTATGAACACACCTGCAAACCCCCAGTCCACACGTGCAACACAAGAGAGGTATCTCGAGGGTAGCTGTGGAGTTGCCACCAAACTGCAAAGCAGATGAAACAAGCCAGCTTCTCTCTCATCAGTTCCAAAGCAAAACAAACAAACAAAGTCACATTTTTCATAATTACATACAGCTAAAAAAAAATCTTTTAAAAAGGCCTACAAGTGTATGTAAAGGAGGAAATTTTACTGTGTCAATCTATAGCTGTGCTGGAATAAATGTTTCTTTGCTGCCTAATGGCTGGAACAGTGAAGAAGTCTCTTTTGATAACTGGTCACTCTCAGAGGGAAGTAAACTTCCCTCTCTGTCACGTTAGCAGGACTATTCTTAGGTTTCATCTTTAAATTAAACGAGGCCTCATGCTAGAGACTGATATGGTTATACACTTAAAGTGCTTAAGTTTTACAAGTCAATACCAGGAATCCTGAGGAAGCATTACATTTCAACCCAGTTATTTCCTGAGATTAAGAAATTAATTTTCAGTTCCTAGTCTAAACAACTACTTTAGTGGCTATCCATCTTCAGTTTTTTGTAAGATAATAAACTGATCAAAGACTGGGACTCACAAGTGTCCCAGCCAGTACCTTACCGTGGCAGTTCTCCATCTCAGTGCGCAGCAAATCACTTCATCATACAGTTGGATTAATTTATTTATTTTTCCCCGCAGTAACTTAGAACCTTACGGTTGGGTGCAAAACCACTGTGAAACAGAACTGAAAATACAAAGACTTACTCCTTCCCTGTTTCCTTTAGCTTGTACATCAGCACCACCTGTTTCATCTGCTTTGGCAACACGATCTTTTCCTGGTACACAACATATTTGTCTAACATTTTCAGTTTAGGCTTATCAGAGTGAGTATCTTTTGAAATACAAAAATATTTTATATGGTTATTAAGCATTTATTAGTATGAAAAAGCTGAGCCTGAAGTGTATAAACAGGACTTTGGGAAGCAGAGATTTAGAACCTACCTTGCACATAAGAGTTCCGATGTTATTGCTATATATTATTAACATCTTCAAGAACTTTATTTAAATCATCACAAACAGACAAAAATATAAAAGCATGCTTGTGCACAGTAGGATATTGATGTGCACACTAGCACACTAAAATAGGATTGTCTGTCCATTACTGTTACTATCTATCAGGGTAGAAGGTTGTAGAAACATGACTACAATAATCCTTAGCAATTACAGGTTCCTTCTCTGATGGGGCTACTTCTGCAAATAAAGAGTTGGTTCTCATACACATGCAAGTGAGCTGCCAGAGTGCTCAGTGCACGAAAGCCCGATCATCGAGTGTTTCAGACTTGTCTGAGGGTCCTTACTCAGCAAAGTGTGCAGCTGAGACCTACAGGAGGGCCACTGGATGTTGTGTGTCTCTCCTTTCTTCCGAGTATCTACCCGTGTTTTTATTCTCACTGAATTCTCTGGACTGGTTGCCACCACGCACATGGTTCAAGATGTAGAAAACTCTAATCAGTGAAAGACAGAGGGCACTGCAGAGAACATGCCCATTTTGTCCTGCAGCTCTTCCTGGTAGCTGGAATGACATGAAGGCACATCCACAGAGTATTCTGAAGTTTTGTGAACCATCTGTAACATGACAGATTACTGCAACAATGCTTTATACTCAGAAAACCGAGTTCTCCACTGGATGAGACTAAGTGTATTAATCTTGTCTCTAACTTACAATTTGTGGAAGTTTACTGTATGTTCTAGAGTACATGAACAGGTAAAGAGCTAAACCATCAACAGATGCACATGGGTATACGGTTTTTGGCACTGAAAGGGGGTAAAGAGGAAAAAGTCATCCTGGGTCAGTCAAAGAACAAATAAAACAGTTAAACCCATTTGGAAATACAGATGAGGTTCCAAAGAAAAATGTAAGTAAGCACAAAGATTTTCAATCAGACTAAACTCTCCTCTTTCCTAAATTCATACCCTTTGTGGTACTCCCAGAAAAGCTGAAGCACCGACCATTTAGTTGCTGCACATACGTGTAACAGTCTAGGTCAGGCAACCACAATGAAGTCTGGCTAAATAGACATTTGTTCTTTTCCAGATGAGGACTTGACTCTGAGAGAACCTACAGAGTCAAAGTTAACCATCTAATAACAATGTGGTGACAAAAAGTGGCAGTACCTTTTCAAATAATATCAGCCCAGAAACTGGCACGTTCCAAGTGTAACTTGCTACAAACAATTCCCTGCAAAGAAATGCCTATCTGCTACGAGTGGGGTCACCTGTAACTTTAAAAGTTGGTCAGCAATAAACACCCAGTCAACAGGAAGAATCTGGTGCCTGTGGAGGATCATTCATTGCAAGGTAAGACAGGCTGAAGGGCAAGATGGATCTTATACTTCTTTTCCTCAGAGCACATGCAGATGTAGCATACAGGGTATTTTGTTTATTTTAACGGTTAAGTTCCCTCTCTTCTGGAAATCATTTTGTTTGAACAAGAATCGTATTTTACCACTGAGTAAATTATATAAATATACCAGCAATTCTGATTTATTTTAAATCAACTAGCATTTCTCTTTCTTTAGCTCTGAATGAGACTTAAATAAATAAATATGCATTACTTTTTTTTAAAAGAAAAAAAAATAAATATAAAAACATGCAAGGAAACAAAGAAACTAAGCTCAAATGACACCCTAAGTTGACTCTTTCACACAGCCAATAAACAGTCTGTTGCATTTTACCAAGGAAAGTTAAAAGAAATATCACAGTTTCATACAAAATTATAACCTGTTCACACACAAGAATTTTTTGCTTTAAAATCACTAGTGTAAAAGAAAAGGGCAGGAACGCACTGCCTCTGCATATGTATCAAGCTTCACAAATATTTTAAGCATCTAACAAAACCAACAAAAAGGGCTTGAAGGTAAAAATGTGTGATTTGATATGTCCAAAATATCTTCACTAGGTTTTAAGCACCTGGAAACCTGCACAAACAGCTCATCCTCACCTGGGATCAGCAGTGCAAAACTCAAAATAATCATGGGCAGGTAGAGGATGTAGCTGTTCCTCCAGTTGCTCCTTAGTTAGACAAGGAGGAAGTCGTCGAATAACTACCTGCATATATAAAAGAAAATGGAAATTTATCTTTGATCTAAATACTGCAATAAGAAACTAAACAAATCCTTCAAAAGCTCTTCCTCAAATTGTGAGCTTCAACTGGAGCATAAGCCTCCTAGTGATTTACCTTCTTGGACTCAGTTTCTGTTAACATTGTAAAATTGTACGGTAACTGAAATATTCTGATTAAGAGCTTGAGAACCACTGCAATTTAGCCAAGAACAGAAGATATTAACAAATAACCATAAAATAGATATAGAATTTGTACAGTACATATTTTAAAACAATATTTAGTTTAAATATTTTAACCTACAAGCTTTTAAGTCTTTTATTAAAACAAAGTTTTAGTGTGTCAGGTTTATATGTCCAGGTGCTGGCAGTGCGGGCTGCAGAGGTGGCCACTGTGAGGAGAGGCTGGGGCTGCCCCATGGTGAACATAGCCAATTCCAACTGATCCATGGCAGGGGCCCTCAGCTATGACGGTGACACCTCTGGAAAAGCGCATTTAAGACAGTACAGAAAAGGCTGCACAGCAGTGTGTGACAAAGGAGTGAGGTGGAAAAAAAAAGGTCTGAGAAATAGCCCTGCAGACACCGAGGTGAGAGAAGAAAGAGGGGAGGAGGTGCTTCTGGCACTGAAGCAGAGATTCCCATAGAACAGACAGCGGTGAAACAGGTTGTCTCCCTGCGGCCCATGGAGGACCAAAGCAGAGCAGATATCCACACTGCAGCCCCTGGGTGACCCCGTGCTGCAGCAGGTGGAGATGCCCTGAAGGGAGCTGTGGCCCATGGAGAGCCCACCTAGGAGCAGGTTTTCTGGCACGACCTGCAGCCCATGCAGAGGAGCCCAGGCTGAAGCAGGTTATCCTGAAGGACTGCAGCCTATGGCGAAGACCCACACTGCAGCAGTTCATGAACAACTGCAGCATGTGGGAAGGAACCCCACCGGAGCAGTTCATGAAGGACTGCATCCTATGGCAGAGACCCCATGCTGTAGCAGGGAAAGAAAAAAAAAAGAGCGTGAGAAGTAAGGAATACCAGAGAGGAGTTGTTACGTTCTGTCCACAACCCCCACTTCCCACCCTCCTGCACTGCTTGGGGACAGGACAAGTGGAGCCTGGGACGGAAGGGGGGAGTGCAGGAAGGCATTTTCATCTTTTCTACTCACCATTCTACTTGAAATATTTTATTAGCAATAATCTAAATTAATATCCTTATTCTCTCCAAGTTGCGTATGTTTTGTCTGTGTTTTGTCATTGTAAGTGATCTCCTTGTTTTTATCTCAATCCACAAGTTTTTTCGTCTTATTTTCTCCCTCATCCTGCTGCGGAAGGAGCCAGAAAGTGGCTGGCCAGGGGTCTGGCAGCCACCCAAAGTCAACCCACCACACTCAGGTGAAGTGGCCAATAATAAAAGCCAGGAAACCATACAGAAACCTTTGGGACAGAACATTGCCAACCCACATAACAGTAAAATGGCCATCAAGCTTCAGACAATCTATCTGCATTTCCTGCCAATACCTGAATTTAACTTAAGTTACAGTGATTTTCAGTGCTTCAGTTTTCTAGTTTTCAGTTTTCTAGAAAATGGGAATAAGATAAATCTCAGAGTACTCTGTATAAACATTCTTTGAAAACAAAAGCCAGGGCGAGGGAAGTGCTCTTGTCCTTGCAGGAGCTGCTTGGCCACAGCAACAGTCAACCTTGTTTTCTGAAGAACGAAAGGTGAAATGGCAGGCAAATTTGCAGCACTTCTGCCCGGGGAATCTCAAGACACCGGAATAAACACCCTCGTTCTGCAGATGAACCAACATCCGTCGAAACATCACGGAGCCCTCTGAAACCAGAGCCCAGACGGCCCAGCGAGGCCTACCTGGGCCACGCCCCTCGCTGCC